TATAACAACACGGTTGATGTAGTTGTACGTCTTCACGATCGACCGGTCCTCAGCACCGAACGTACGGCACCTCCGCGTTCAGCACACGTTCAGCTCGGTGACGTCCCGCAAACTCACGATCCAGTAGAGCTCGGGGAAGGGTTTTGTCAGCACGACGGTGTGGTGACGATGTTGATGAAGCTACCAACGTAGGGCTTCGCCTAAGCACCGCTATGATATAACCGAGGTGGATTATGGTGGAGGGGGGCACCACACATGGCTAAGAGATCAACAGATCAATTGTTGTGTCTCCAAGGGGTGCCCCTGCCCGTATATAAAAGAGGGAGAGGAGGAGGGGCGGCCAAGGAGGAGGAGGCGCGCCCAAGGGGGGCAATCCTGCTCCAAGTAGGATTCCCCCTCTTTCCTAGTCCTAGTAGGAGAGGGGAAGGAAGGGAAGGAGAAGAAGAAGAAGGAAAGGGGGGACGCCCCCCTAGTCCAATTCGGTTTGGGCTAGGGGGGCCGCGCGCCCCTAGCTGGCCGCCTCTCCTCTTCCTCCACTTGGGCCCATAAGGCCCGATAACCCCCGGGAGGTTTCGGTAACCTCCTGGTTCTCCGGTATTTATTCAATAACCCCCGAAACTCATCCGGTGTCCGAATATAACCTTCCAATATATCGATATTTACGTCTCGGCCATTTAGAGACTCCTCGTCATGTCCGTGATCATATCCGGGACTCTGAACTACCTTCAGTACATCAAAACATAAAAACTCATAATATCGATCGTCACAGAACTTTAAGCGTGCAGACCCTACGGGTTCGAGAACTATGTAGACATGACCGAGACACGTCTCCAGTCAATAACCAATAGCGGAACCTGGATGCTCATATTGGTTCCTACATATTCTACGAAGATCTTTATCGGTCAAACCGCATAACAACATATGTTGTTCCCTTTGTCATCAGTATGTTACTTGCCCGAGATTCGATCGTCGGTATCTCAATACCTAGTTCAATCTCGTTACCGGCAAGTCCCTTTACTCGTTCCGTAATGCAACATCCCACAACTAACTCATTAGTCACATTGATTGCAAGGCTTATAGTGATGTGCATTATCGAGACGGCCCAGAGATACCTCTCTGACAATCGGAGTGACAAATCCTGTTCTTGATCTATGCCAACTCCACGAACACCATCGGAGACACCTGTAGAGCACCTTTATAAGCACCCAGTTATGCTGTGACGTTTGGTAGCACACAAAGTGTTCCTCCGGTATTCGGGAGTTGCATAATCTCATAGTCATAGGAACATGTATAAGTCATGAAGAAAGCAATAGCAGTAAACTTAAACGATCAAGTGCTAAGCTAACAAAATGGGTCAAGTCAATCACATCATTCTCCTAATGATGTGATCCCGTTGATCAAATAACAACTCATGTCAATGGCTAGGAAACTTAACCACCTTTGATCAATGAGCTAGTCAAGTAGAGGCATACTAGTGACACTATGTTTGTCTGTGTATTCACACATGTATTATGTTTCCGGTTAATACAATTCTAGCATGAATAATAAACATTTATCATGAAATAAGGAAATAAATAATAACTTTATTATTGCCTCTAGGGCATATTTCCTTCAAACGGGCGGTAGTACCGGTTGTGGGGAACAACCGGAACAACCGCCCAGCCACCGCTCAACCACCGCTTTGAAACAGTAGGGTGTCACCCCTGTGTGCGGTGATCGAGCGGTATAGCACCGGTGCAACCGCCTGGTCCTGGTCACTTGGGTGGCTAAGTCCCAAGCGGTAGAACCGCTTGGGGAACTGGTGTGCGGGGCACAACCGGACCAACCGGGCCACTACCCAAGTACCGCATCAAAACAAGAACCAGACCGGTTGTTGGGCGGTACTTGTCGGTACAACCGCCAGAGACACACCCCAGTCAAATTTAAGCACAGTGGCGGTACCACCGCCCGGGAGTAGCGGTACAATCGCTTGGTCATGACTGGGCTGTTCAACCCCAGGGTATCACCCCTGGGGTGGTGGTTGGGTTCGTGCCAAGTGCCAGCGGTACAACCGCTCGCACGAGCGGTACAACCGCTGGGAGAACACATCAAGCAGTTGGATAAGAAAGGGAGCTCTCTCTCACACAAAACAAGGAAGGCCAAGGAGGGTGTGGCAGAAGTGTACGTGCAAAGATTCCCCCAACTCCTTCCAATGCGTATCCCCTCTTAATAGTACGGGTTCCCTGCGACCAAAGAGATAAACACGTAGAAAAACACGGTCTTTGATCTTTTCCTTCCAGAGAGAATAGTAATCCGATGTAAGCCTAATCACCAAGAACCTGAAGCACTTAGCACAAGATTGGACCAACAAAGGGTTGTCATCATCATCCAAAACACAAAGTAGGGAAATGCCCTTACAAAGGGTCGGCTTTTGCAAAGGTTACTCTCACCTTCTATGATGATGTAGTGCACCACTTTCCGTAAAATGGGAGTTTTTTTGCGTAGATTCATTTTTTCAAAACATTTTATCTATTTAACGTGGGTCCAAATCACGAACCCTTTTCATCATCAGATTTCTCATGCCGAGATCTTTGAAACTAGATTCCATGTTAATGGATTCTGGCAATTTTTTTACAAAAAGAAACTGAGAATAAAGAAACCAAAAAAATTAAAAAGATTGAAAACGGAAAAAAGACCGAAATCGGAACCCAGAAGCACAATTCTCCTTTTCACTTTTTAAGCTGTGCTTTTGCCTTTTCGGGAAACAGACTCTGCTTACAGATCATGGTTCTCTCTTTTTCTGGGGAAGCACACGGTGCTTTTCCCTTTCAAGATGCATAGGCTATGCTTCTCACGGAAGCAAATCGGTGATTTTCCCTTTCGGGAAGCACAGGTGGTGCTTCTCAAGGAAGCGCATCGGTGCCTTTTTTCTTTTAGGAAGCACACTGCGCTTTCGTCTTTCGTGTGGAAGCACATGATGTGCTTTTTTATTTTCGTGAACGCAAATGTGCTTTTCACATAAGCACAACTCTAAAAAAATAGGCGAAAACCTAGGGAAACCAAGCAAAAATCAAAAGGCCAAAAAAAACAAAAAATCCGAAAGCACATGCAAAAAAGAAAAAACCCCAAAATCCCGAGGATACCACTAGTGCGTGACACGTGGCAACTGCTGAGCGCCCCACTTGGCTCGCTCTCTTGCATGACCTCTGTGAGAGCCCTTCAAGCGATACAAATTAGTTTTTTTAGGAGCCTCTTAATTAGTTGCTCCATTATAGCAACAACTATGTTTCGCCTATACCTATTTCTAATAAGAATCACCTACTGGCCACAAAGTAGTGGGCTAACCCCATTTAGCTGTGGCGATCAATGACTTCGCTCGCGCCACGTCTGGTCACTCCGTTCGTCGCTTCAGTACGATTTTCTTCCTTTTTCTCTTTTCATTTTCTGTTTTTATTCGGTTTTCTTTGATTTTATTTTTTCTTCATTATATGTTTTGGTTTTCTCTTTCTTTTTGCAATGGGTTCATTTTTATGATTTTTTGCTAGTTTTCTTCTGCTATTTTCCATTTTTTGCGAAAGGCTATTTTCCATTTTTCTGCACCATTTTCTCAGTTTTCTTTCTATTTCGATGGCATTCTTTGGTTTTTCTTTTCCTTCTTTGCACTTTGATTTTCTTTGTTTATTTCTTGCCCTTTTGTTTCTCTGCCTTTCTTTTTTGTCGGTTTTTTATTTTTTATTTTTAAACATGTCTAATTTTATTTCAACACATGTTTATTTTCGTTTATTTTTTGTCTACATGTAAAACAATTTTTATACACCTTTAACATTTTTCAAATGCAACTTTAATCTTTTTCACAAAAATATGTTCTGAATATATTTTCAAATACATGTTAATCAATTTTCCAAATACACGTTGAAACATTTTTCAAATGTAAAATATATTTTTTAAGTATGCAAACATTTTTTGTACATTGTATAAACATTTTTTTTGGAAATCTTACGACTATTGTTTTGAAACTTGTGAAGATTATGTTAGATATGTTGTACATTTTTTTTCTGAATGTACGAAATTTTTTGTTTCTTTTACAAACATGTTTTCTGCATTTTATAAAAATTCTTTTTAAATGTCATGTACATTTTTTTTAAATGTGTGAAATTTTTTAATTATAAAAAATATTTCTCTCACACATGATTAATATTTGTTCTGTAGATCATTAACATTTTTCGTGCATATGAGTAACATTTTTGTACACATGATTAACATTTTTCGTGAACACGATTAACATTTTTTGTTCACATGAGTACCATTTTATGTATACATGATAAACATTCCTTTTTTATTCATGTAATGCATTTTTTGTATACATCAGAAACATTTTTATATACACATTTAACATTTTTCAGTGCAGGATTACATTTTCTAAAATTTTATGTAAACTGTTTTTAGTATAATATATATATATATATATGTATATAGAATGAGAATATTTCGTATATATATTAAATTAAAAAATGAAAATAAAAATATGAAGGGAAAACGAAAATAAATGTTTAAAAACACGCAGGACGTCATCTTGACGTCAGCGTGACGCTGCAAGTAGTTACCGGGCCGTCCCTGTTTGGGTTCCTGTAGGCGAGCTGTGCGTCGGCGCCGCTGCGTGCGGCACAGAGCCACGCCCCTCCCTAGTACCATGGGAAATTAGCGATGGGCCGGCTGAAAAAAAAAGGCCTATCCCGACCCATGAAACAACGCACGGAGCCTCCCGAATCACGACTCTGCCGCTCCTCCCGATCTCGCCGGCTCGCTACCTGCTCGTCGGACGCCGTCGCCGCCTGGCTCGCTGGCAGACGCCCAAGATCCGCCCCTGCCGGCCCCGCCCGCCCAGCGCCCGGAGCCACCTCGCCCGCCGCCCAGTCCACACTCGGCAGCCCAAGATTACCGTACGCTGATTTCTTTTGTTTCTTGTTTGATGTTGGAGTCCCGCGTCTTGTTCACTACTCTGTCTCACAGGTCCCACCCAAATGCTTTCCCGTCTCCTCCCACGCCGCCACCACCGTCGCCTCCTCCAAACCCTACAACCGGCAGCCGCCGCCGCGGGTGAACTCCACCAGAGGTTGTGCTCTACCGCGGCGGCATCGAGCCCAAGCCTTTCGATATGGCGGCGGAAGAAGGAGATGGGGAAGGAAGGCCTCATGGCGGTCGCGCAGCTCAAGCGGCTCGCGGCGCTACCCCCTGCCGGAGGCCACCAGAGGCTGGTGGAGTACATGAAATTGCATGTGTCTCGGCTCCTCCGCACCGACCTCCTCGCCGTCCTCGCTGAACTGCTCCGCCAGGACCACGTCATCCTCTCCATGAAGGTACTGCTTCCACCCCCGACGAGTCTGCTCGCGTTTCTGTTTCTTTTGCGAATATATCTAGCTTGCTATTTTTTTTAGAACGAAGGCTCGCGAGGAGCCCGGCTTTGAATTACCAAAGCCATCAACCGGCCAGGAGTTACAGCAAACAACCAAATAACAGCGGTCAGAAGGATACAATGGGAACACTGGACTGAAACGCTAACTACAACCTCCACAAGCAGCTAATGCAAAGGAAATAAAGATTACAGCTTGCAAAGGCCGAGCACTCCACACTAGGATCATATGAGGAAAAGCAGAGCAGCAAAGCAGGGCATATCCGACCTTCAAAGATGGCCATGCTCCAGGAACACCTAGAGAAGAAGGGGAACAACATCTTCCATCTCAATCACCGAAGAGGGACCCTACCCCCTCGCCATGGCTCGTAGGCGCCGCACCGTCGGGGTTTCGAGGAGCTCACCCTAGAGCTCGAAGAATGCCGCCCTCACATCGGAAGGTGGACATAGTGCGGCCACTTCAATTTGGGATATCCCTAGCCGGCCGCTCCGCCACGGTCCATGCCCAGCTAGGTGGAAATACGCTTCGTGGAATCGGACGATGAAGAGGAGGCAGCTCCGTCCCTCACCTGCAGCGCCTCCCGACCGCATCCCGCCTCCCTAACGGCGCCTCCAGCAAGGTCACGGCGCGCAAGGCGCCGCCGCCGCCAAATCCGAGAGGATATAAGGTTTTCACCCGGGCAGGGTGGGTCGGGGTGGAAGCAGGGGACCTCGGCTGCGCCCCCATGGAGGAAAGCAGCGCCCTTGGGCGTTGCCGCCGCCGGACCGGCCGGACCGGCCAAGGTTTCCCCCGGTCCCCTAGCTGGCCACCAACTCGCACCAACGCCAGGGCCAGAGAGCAAATCACAAGCCACCGCCGACGGCGAGAGAGAGGTAGCCGGGAAGGGATTTCGAACCTCCAGATCTGACGAAGAAACTTCGCGCCGCGGCCGGATTCCACCAACCACCCGCCGCCCGCGCGGCCAGGCACACTGGCCAGCACCCCTGCGAACGCCGCCCACCGCCCGACGACGCCGCCTCTCCGGTTGGGGCCGCCGCCCCAGGAACCGCAGGCCTCCGAGAGGGGATGGAGCGCCGAGATCCTCGCCGCCACCTTCACCGGCGCCCGCGCAGGCTCCCCGGCGGCCGTCTCCGGTAGCGGCGAGGGGAAGAAGGGAGTGGAGGGGGGTGGCGGCGGCCGCGG